AGAAATGACAATGCAAATGTCACATGGCAAGGGTTGAAATGGCAAGCTCTTAACTAAGACATGTAACTCGAGGGGCATGTTGGGTAATTTTGAGCCTTTAATTTCCATTGTTTTCATAAAAACCTTAACCAAACCCCATTACAACTCAAGGAAAAGTCCTTTTTGAGGGTTTTAAAGCTTTAGAAATCAAAATGATGGCAATCATTAGACTAAGAATGGCAAAAAAAAAAAAAAAGAGGGTGACCTAGCAAACTAAATATTTCCTTGACTTGGAAAGTTGAAGATCTAATGATGAAAGGCATTCTTTCTCTATCCCAAACAGTTAACATTATCCTTTGCTTACCCTTTTTTGAGCTAGAAAAGGCAATCATCCAAGTTCAAAAAGCCAAGATGATTTTCTTCTTGTTAACCCACATTAATGCCCGGGGTCGTGAAGAGAGAAATGTGAGGGGAATATATGAAGAAATTGATTCTGAGCCTTTATCCTTTCTTTCATAGTAGCCTAACCCCAAGCCATGTTACAAGCCTATATAAAGTCCTTATTTGAGGGTTTGAAACTTTCTTTGTCAAGGAACATTAAAAAAAAAAAAAAAATCCTTTCTCTAACGAGTCCAAGCTAGTTAGCTTGATGGTTTATGAAGGTTAGTTCATGGGAAGGAGATAGATTTGATTCGTCCACCTTGACATGGAAGTAGACATTGTCTCATATGCTAAAGACTGGATTGGTGGAGTTGCAAAGAAATAAATTCTTGAAGCAAATGCTTTATAGCCTGAATGTCTTTTAACCTTGTCAAAATTGTAGCATCAAAAGTTGTGCAATTCAAAAATCATGTTTATCTCTTTCTATCCATACATATTATCCATGCCCTGGCCTTCTTTTTCTTGTTTAGATTGGGAGGCTGATTGGTTATGATGCTTTATTTCAGTTAATATAATTGCTTTATTTAACTGAAATCTCTTGACAAATCTAAAAATGAGATGAGAGTTGCAGAGAAAAGCAAAAGTTTGATTCAACGGTCATGGTGCTTATCCTCTCCTGCAATGATTCAAGAATTTTCCCAGTGAACTAGAGATGCTCTCAAGTCACTGAACTTTATGCAAAGCATGTCATCGAGCCTATTGATAAATGTGCAACATGAAGGACACCGGACTCTTGTCAAATATGGACACCCAATATGTTCAAGGAAGTTTCTTTTCATTTTCATCTTATCTTATGTATGAAGATCATTTCACTTGCATCGGTTTCATTGTCATTAGACTTTTCAGACATCACTTCCCCTATTCGATCATCCGATCATCACTCGTTCGGTCAATTCGATCGTTACCCCTCGGTCATTCGACCGTTACCTGCTCGATCATTCGATCGTTACTCGTTCGGTCAATCCGATCGTTACCCCCTCGGTCATTCGACCGTTACCTACTCGATCATTTGATCGTTACTCGTTCGGTTACTCGATCGTTACTCGTTCGGTCACCCGATCGCTACTCGTTCGGTTATCCGATCGTTACCCCTTGGTCATTCGACCATTACCTGCTCGATCATCTAATCGTTACTCGTTTGGTCAATCCGATCGTTACCTCCTCAGTCATTCGACTGTTACCTACTTGAGCATTCGATCTCTATTCGTTCGGTTATCCGATCGCTACCCCTTCGGTCATTCGACCGTTACTTGCTCGATCATTCGATCGTTACCTTCGGTCATTCGACCGTTACTTGCTCGATCATTCGATCGTTACTCGTTCGGTCATCCGATCGTTACCCCTCGGTCATTTGGCCGTTACCTGCTCGATCATTCGATCGTTACTCGGTTACTTAACCGTTATTGCTCAAGCCTGCTCGGTCGTTTGACTGTAGCTATCCATCTTGCTCGGTCGTTTGACCGTAGCTATCCCTCTTGCTCGGTCGGTTGACCGTAGCTACTAACTTGCTCGATCATTTGATCGTTACTCGTTCGGTTATCCGATCGTTACCCCTCGGTCATTCGACCGTTACCTGCTCGATCAGCCGATCGTTACTCGTTCGGTCATCCGATCGTTACCCCTCGGTCATTCGACCGTTATCTACTCGATCATTCGATCGTTACTCGTTCGGTTATCCGATCGCTAC